GTGCTTCGTTTTGTGCTCCAGTCTGTGCTCCTCACACAAGGCAATGGCGGCTTTATTGTCGACGTACAGAACTGGAGGAGAACGAGGCCTCTCTCCCAAGTCGGTCAGCAGGTAGGTGAGCCATCGTAACTCCTGTGCAGCCATGGCTGTGGCGTAGATCTCATCCTCACAACTGGAGCTGAGAACAGAAGACGAGCGTATAGACCGCCAAGAAACAGAGCCAGAACCAAGACTGAAGGTGTAACCCTGTGACGACCGCTGCATAGCCTGGTCGTCAACCCAAGACGCGTCAGAGTGTCCAGTGAGGACAACGTCGCTCCGTCCTCCAAGCACGAGCCCCATGCCTGATGTACTGCACAAGTAGCGCAGTACCCTCTTCGCAGCATCCATGTGCACCTTTTGGTGCCGACCAGGAGCCACGTAGCGAGCCAAAAGGCCAAGAGGGTAAGCGAGGTCAGGTCGAGTGCCGGTAATCAGGTACATGAGGCAGCCCACTAGCTCGGCGTAAGGACCACTCGACTCTACGGACTCGTCCGAAGGTGGAGCTGAGAGCGAGTGACCTGTAGCCAGCGGAGTGGACTGTGGGGAGGACCAGGTGAAGCCGAAGTGCTGAAGGACCTGCTGCACCATGTGTGACTGAGTCAGTGTGATGGTGCGACGGGCTCTGTCCCGGGTGATCTGCAAGCCAAGGTAGCTGCGCAGCTCACCCAGGTCAGTGCATGTGTGTCTCTTCTGCAGCTCCGACTTCACCAGAGCGAGAGCCTCAGTGTCAGCGGTGGCAAAGACCAAGTCGTCGACGTACATGAAGGTGTAGAACGGCGGCAGCGAAGTGTCGGTGCGCAGAAACAGTGACGGGTCAGCAGTGGAAGGAGCGAACCCAAGAGCCGCAAGTGTAGTCCTCAGTGTGTCGTGCCACTCACAAGGCGCCTGGCGGAGACCGTAGACTGGCCGCCGGAGGCTCCACTGGGTACCAGGAGGGAACGACCCAGTGAAGCCAGGTGGGCGGCGCAGCCAGATCTCCTCGTGCAGGCTGCCCTATAAGAAAGCTGTGCTGAAGTCAAGGGAGTGAAGCTCGTAGTCACGCTGAGCGGCAAAATGCAGCAGTACTCGAAGAGTGGTCATCTTCGGGGTGGGGGAGAAGGTCTGGAAGAAGTCAACTCCCTCTCGCTGACTGAAGCCTCTAGCAACGTAACGAGCCTTGAAGACAGGCGGAGAACCCGGCGGCCGCTTCACCCTGAAAATCCACATGCCATCGACGATGTTCACCCCAGGAGGGGGAACCTCATCGTTGTAAGTGTCTGTGGACTTCCAGGATGCCATCTTTGCGTCCATGGCTGTCTGCCACTAAGAGGAGTACTCACCCGCGATCGCCTCAGCGTAAGAGCGTGGGGTCGGGATGTCTGGTGCATCCAGGTCTCCCTCAGGGGCAAGCAGCATGGCCACGAGATGAGGCGCAGCGGCCGCAACACACTCAAGGTCCGCCTGTCTGTACGCGGACGAAGGCGGCCACTCCAAGGAGACTGCGCACGAGCAGTAGGAGTCCCCTCAGGCGCCGCACCCCCAGACTCAGCACCCTCGGGCTCCTCACGCTCAAGCTCAGCACCCCCAGACGCAGCACCCCCAGGCTCAGTACCTCCAGGCTCAGCAGGCCCCTCACGCGAAGGCTCAGCACCCTCAGACTCGGCACCCCCAGGCTCAGCACCTCCAGGCTCCTCACTGTCGGAAATTCCCTTACCTCTTTCTCTCTGAAGGCTCCTCTCTCCCTTCCTTCCTCCCACCCTCCTTGGCTCCAGCTTCCTGCCACTCCTGGTCCTTCTTGCCTGCCGTTCCCTGATGCTGCCTGCCTCCTATCCATTTGGTATACACTCTCGGTTGCCCTCACTGCTTCGGGCTCTTGATATCCCCTGATAAGCCTCTCAGCTTACTCACACTTGTCTAGGTTATAACCTCCATTCCTACTTAGTTTGTTATGGCCTGACGCTCACGGTTGCACAATCTTGAAGCAATCACATGAGTAATACAGAACATACAAACAATGCAAAGTCTATTGCCCGTACCCCCTATATTCGCACCAGCTTTCCCCTCCTAGTGCTACACCGCTAAATCTGCCTGAAGGTGACGTCCCACACTGAAGCGAAGAGTCAACCTTCTCCTCCTCTTGCCACTGTCACTTAGCCGCCCCTCTGCTTGACCTCCAGCTCATGCCTGTAACTCTAGCTGGCTCGGGCATTCAACCTGCAAGAAACGAAACATGCATGCCTCACACAAAACAAAAGCTCCTTCCAGCTGTCACCATTCCCTGCTCCCCCATGCGATTGTCTGCTGACGCGGCAGCCCGAAATCGCCCTGCCATCATCCTAGCCTCGGTCCCTGTCCTCGGTACACTTCCTCTCAACCACCTGTACAAAAGTACATTATGTACACTCCTTTCCGTACTCCGTAAACTCGCGACATCACGCTCAGGCACAGCACCCCCAGACTCCGCACCCCCAGGCTCAGCACCCCGAGCAGGACCACCCCCAGCAGGACCCGAGTCACCAGTGACCTCAACAGGCGCAGGCACAGGAGGGTCTACCTGAGAAACACCTGAAGGAGCAGGATCTGGCGCGGGGAGGGGGTCTACATGGGGAGGACCTGGAGCGAGAAACAGTGGCATGGGGGGGGGGGGGGGGGGAGGAGGGGGGGGGGGATGGGGGGCGAGGGGCAGTGCGGTAGGGAAAGAGTCGGAAAAAGGGGACGGACTCGTCAAAAGTGACGTCCTGAGACGCAAAGACACGGCGCGAGGTGGGGTCGTAAAACTGCCAGCCAGGCGCGTCAGGAGGAAAACCAAGGAAGACGCAGGGAATGGCGCGGGCAGAGAGCTTGTCCGCGGTGAGATCGCGGACAAAGGCACGAGCACCCCAGACCTGGAAACGCGACGCATCGCCAACCTCCCCCGTCCACAGCAGTGTGGGCGAGGTCTCCGGCAAGGAGACACGGGGCCAGAGGTTGAGCTGATGCGCGGAGTAGTGGACCGCAAATGGCCACAGAAAATGGGGAGCCGCCGCATGGATCATGGAGGTACGAGCGACCTCCATGACTAAGCCAATGCGGCGCTCAGCAACCCCATTCTGCTGCGGAGAGGTCGGATGACGTGCTCCTCACAGAAGGCTCGCAAGAGGTCGGAGGTGAACTCACCACCTCTGTCAGAGTGCAGACGCAAGACAGGAAAGTCCCGCTCGAACCGCTCGCAGAGCTAGAGACGAGCAGTGCGGATCCAAGGAATCAGAACATTAGGGAAATCCGCCTTGCGGTGCAAGGGGAAGACTGTGGTGTAACGCGTGTAGTCGTCGACAACCAGCAGGAAGTACCGCTCGCGGCCCTGTCCCTGGACGCGGGCTGGGCCCCACACGTCCAGGTGGAGAGTCTGCAGCGGAGCCTCTGTGGGAGGGAACGAGGAGGAGTGAGGAGCGGCGCGCTGCCGCCCCTCGACGCAAGGAATGCAGGGCGGCGCAGGCGAGGGAGGGAGGGCAGGCAGGGACCTGGGAAGACCAGAGACCAGGGAGCGAGAGTGCATGCTACGAAGGCAAGGCAGGGAGGGGTGACCAAGGCGGTGGTGCCACAGAAGAGTGTCGTGCGACCGGCGGCGACACTCACGCTGGGTAGCGATCTGAGCAGACGCGTACAGCTGTGGAGACAAGGGGTGTAGCGTCAAACATTGGTGAGGGTGTACAGACTGGACCCAGGCTCACGTGTGAACTGTAGTACCTCGTAACGAGTTGCAATATATTTCATTAGGGCGGGTGTTTTTTAGTGTCGACGTTCGGAAAAATGGTGGAAATTTCGCTGATAACCTGTTTCGTTAACATCGCAAAAACATTTGCGATGAAATAGTGTGTCCTATTTCAATATGTGTGAAAAAAGTCAGACACTAAATTGAAGTCGACATGCGTTCGGACTTTTATGTTTACATTTAGCCAATCATGTACTCTTCTGCACACGCACGGAAATCCGCAAGGTTCACGACAGTAACGAGGTACCAAAGCTAGATACGGCCACGAACTGCACTGCCCAACCGAAAGTTTAGCGCGACTCGGGATTCACTGTTTAAAGTCGAACTTTGATGGTTGAACTGTTATGTGCTGTGTGATACATGTGAAGCGAGCAACAGTGGCTCGAGCAAAATGAATCGATATAGTAGAGCCTAGGTCGACCTAGGTTCAAATGTATGAAGTTCAACTGTATAAAGACACACGCCCTTACTGTAGGCTTATTTTAGCGGGTGCCTTCCGAAGTTCTCGCGTCAGCTGGTTCGGCCTACATTTTCGCACCGAACCACTTCCGAATCGCCACCGCTCGTTTTCCGCGACCTTCCGAGCCTCGTTACCTGGGGTTCATCGCCTAGATTAACCCATCTATTTAGGGCGTGTTACATTTTTTAAAATCACTGAAAGTCCGGAAGTACTCGCGACGTACGTCCGAACGCTTGCGACTCTGGTGACGTCGTACATTCGCTCTCCGGCGCTTACGACGTCGTACGGTCGCTACACGACGCACACGACGCCGTTCAGATCCTCACGAGAATATTTGCGATCTTAACGACTTTGGTAACCACAAAACTGTCCGGACGGAATAATGAAACATTGTAACACGCCCTTATTCTCGTTTTAGGCATTCAGAAGACACTAGTTTTCTAAACCCGATTGCATTTCTGTTAGCTTTTGTAACCTGCACGATCAGCCACCCAAATGCCATAACTACCATTGCGCCATCGTGCCTGCAGCAGCTAGCCGCCGCGCGCAAGTGACGCCGCGGGTGCATGCGCCATGTGAGAAGACTGCGGTGCATATTGGACGCCTCGTCTTTATGAGCTCACACAAGCGAACGATAGCAAAAGCTAGGTTCCGTTCCCAGGAGGGTCAGTCGTTCTAAAGTCTTGCACGTTTCTCATCCTCAGAGCCTTTTTCAGAATTCCGTGTGGTCCTGCGCGAGGCACAGTTGCGCGAGCATCATCGGTGCAGATGTCGCCATCATCCGCAAGCAGCAGCAGCTGGCCGTGGCCGCCGCACAGCCGTCCGATGGCCGCCGAATCTCGACGCCGAGTAGCTACACGCTGCGTGTCGCTCTGGCGCAAAGCGAAGAGCGCCGCGTTGGGGAAAGGCACGGCAGCTGCTGGCAGCGAACGGGACGTCGGTGGGCCGACGGACCAAGCTGACGGCGGGTCAGCTGACGAGCCGGCTCCCGCAGCATATCTTCTCGCGAATCCACCGCGCGAAACGTCGCCCGTCGCCAGCGATGTCGCTGACGACCCGTTGGCGTCGCCGCCAGCCCAGGGCGTGTTCGCGAACCTGTCCAGCGACTGCCTGGAAGTCGTTTTTCGCCACCTAACCGACTCGCGCGACGCCGTGCGAGCGAGCTGCGTGTGCAAGGCGTGGCACAGCGCGTTTCACGGCTCCACGCGCCACGTGTCGCTCCAGCTGGACCCCGTCCTGCTACAGTGGCAGCCGTCGTTCCGCCCCGCCCATGCGCACCTCGATACAGTCACGATCGCACTCACGGGCAACCGCGGCGGACACGGAGACGGCAGGGAGGAAGGAGCGGCGGCAGGTGGTCATTCTCTACCGGCCGGTGGAGAAACGAACAGCAGCGGAGGCGAGTGGACTGGCGGCCGAGGCGGAGTGACGGGTGGGTTGGGTGGGGCGGATGGGTGGGGAGGGTCGGGTGGAGTGGCGGGGTGGTGGTGGGATCCCATGGCGTCGGGCGGCTGGCATGTGAACCACGCCGACCGCTTCGACTGCAACAGCCTCGCCCGCCCCGGCTGGATGGCCCACGAGCCCTACCACCGCACCTTCTCACCGAACCACATCCGAGCCTTGCTCAACCAGTTCCCGAACCTCACCTCCGCCTGCCTGCCCATGACCGTGCGCGACAGCGAAGCAACCGACATGCAGCCAGTGGTAACCGCGTTGGCCTCCTGCAGTGCGCTCAGCTCGCTGCACGTGCAGGTGAACGCGGGGCAGAGGTCCAGCAACCCTCCCCCCCAGCTCGACCTGACCACCCACATGGCAGCACTCCTGCAAACCCTGCCCGCCCTGCGCGCCCTCTCCCTGCAGTCCGCGCACTGCTTCCTCCGCCCCTCGCCCCCTCTGCTCGCCGCCTTCTCCCGCCTGCGCCACCTCACTCTCCCCGTGCACCACCTGCCCGCGCCCCTGCTCGCCCTCACGCTCCTCTCCTCCCTCGCCCTCGCTGTGATCTGCCCACGCTGTCCCGCGCTGCTCGCCTCGCCCGCGCCCTTCCACCGCCTCAAGCGCCTCTCGTCTCTCTCGCTGCACCTCGCCGCCAGTGAAGATTGCAATCCCTGCCCCGTGTGTACCATGAAAGATACCGCCCATGACAGCACCAGCGGCAAGGGCGGTGGTGATGGTGGCAGCGGAGGCGGCGACGGTGGCGGCGGTGGTGATGGTGGTGATGGTAGCAGTGCCAGCACCACACCCTCGACCTCTCTCACCCCTCTCCCTCCCCTCGCCAACCTCTTCTCAGGCCTCGCTCCCTCCCTCACATCTCTCACATACATTCCCCCTGCGTTTCCTTCCCCCACGCCCACCTCCCTCCCCGCCTCGCTCATCACCCTCACCACCCTCCGCACACTCCGACTGCTAGCCCCAACCAACTCCACCTTTGCTCACACCTGGGGGGACCTGGACGGCCTTTCGCGTCTCACCCAGCTCACCTTCCTGGAACTTTCCTGTGTGGCGGGGAATGCAGTGCCGACGTCGCTGCATGCGCTGCCGCTGCTGGCGCATCTGGTGCTGCCGTGGGCTCAGAGCGACCCCGCACGGATCGTTCCCTCGCTCAGTGCTCTGAGGGAGCTCGAGATTGGCACAGGGGCGCTTAGCATTGAGCCACGGGTGGAAGCAGCGACAGGAGGGCAGGCAGGGCAGGCGGGGCAGACAGAGCAGGGAGCAGCAGGAGCAGCAAGAGCAGAAAGCACTCTGAATCCCCCAACCAGCAGCATCATCCAAGCCCTCGCTGACCCGGCTCAACCGGCTGCCAGTCCCGCCGCACCTCCCTTGCTGCTGCCGCCCAGTCTCTCATCCCTCAGACTACTCCACACGGACCACCGCCCCCTCCACCTGCCCGCCCTCGCCTGCGCCTCGCTGCGCCGCCTCTCCTTCTCCTTCAACGTCGAGCTCGCCGCCCGCGTGCCGCCCCATGCCTGCTTCTTCCCCAACCTGCAGTTCCTCGAGCTCTTCCGCGTGGAGGGGTCGTTCGGGTGGGGCAACGGGCAGTGGCTGGGGGCCATGCCGAGCCTCACGCACTTCATCAGCCGCTGCCCCAAGCGCAACCACTCGTACCTGCTCCACCGACTTGCACCTTCCTTGAAGTTTCTCCACCTGGAGGATCCGTCTCCCAAGGTCCCACTGGTAGTCCTCCCATCCCTCACATCCCTCACTATCGACAAGTACTGTGACATGAGTGCACTGCTCTCCTCCCTCGCTGCCTTCTCCGCCCTGCACACGTTGCGCTTCAACTGCTTCTCGCAGGTCGCGTCCGACAGAAAGCTCTCTCCGGGGCGAGTGGGGCGCCCTCCAGCGCTCAGAGTGCTGCAGTTCAGATTTGCTCAAATCCACGCGCTGCCGGAGTTTGCGAGAGGCTTCACGAGCGTTGTTAGAGTTGATCTGATCAACTGTGGGCCGCTGGAGGTGTGGCCGGAGTTTTTGGCTAAGTTCCCGGCGTTCCACTGCTTGCGAGTGAGTGGGTGCTCAAAACTCCCCCCTCCTCCCCCTTTACTGGTTCCTCTGCTGGTGCCGCCCAGATAGGGGGTTGGGCTGTGACAAGTATTGTGGCAACTGAAAGGGGCAAATGAGGTGAACGTGCCATGGTGGTAGGGTTGAGGAGCAAGGCCTCAAATTCACTTGTAGGGACCCTGATGCATCAGGGATGCATCATGAGGTGAAAGGCTGATTGACAGTGTTACTTAAAAATGGTTGATTGATCAGTGTCCAGATACAAAAGCGTATTCCTATCCTCATATCAAGAATACCTCATATCAACCTCCCACTGAAAATTCCCCTAAACCCAAAACCTCTCGCTAGTTTTACCAGGCAAAAAGTACATTCTTGATATGAGGTTCTCTTGATACGAGGATAGGAATACGCTTTAAAAGAGCTTATTCAATCATACAGCGTATGATTAAAGCCAACAGCGCATGCAGCATTGGAGGGTCTTGCAAAAGTGACATGAGGTCATGCATCATCACCAGAATCAGAGTCACTACAATTGCCATGATCCACTGCTTCCCACTCCTTATCTTCCTCCTTCCCCTTTCCATTGCTCTGCCCCTCTTGCTGGTGTTGCTGCACGTTGCCAAAGGGGCAGCGCTTCTTATAGCTGCGCCAGATCCGGGCTGACGCTATCAGACCATTGACTTTGTGGAAACTGTACTTCCAGTGTAGTGAATTTTCCATCACTGAGACCCTCGGAGTTTGTTTTTATGGCCCCTGTTATAGTGTAATACCGTATTACCCCGAATATAAGCGCATCTGCGCCAGGGCTCTCGTTATCAGGGCGAAATACCCTTTTTGCACTGACTGGAGGCCGCTTTTTTCCAGTTACCCTTAGCCAGGCAGGGTACTGGGATTTTTACCCTAGGCCAGAAAGTGTTAGTTTTTTTTTACCCTTTGAAATACAGCATGCCGGAAATGTTTCCCTGACTGTACAGGGTACAATTTCACTTACACTGATACCGAGTTTATCGAAGCGAGTATTTCAGAACTGATGCAGGGTGCGAAACGGACAACAAGACCAACATGAACACAACACGACATCAACCACAGGTGCATACACGGCATTTCCCACGCGTTGTGCCCAGAGCTCACCTCATTGGTGGAATTGGCAGACACCCTGCCAGCGTAACACGGAATCAAAGCCAGAGCAGCAATTGACAGCTGCCCTACTTGTCTACTAGCGCGCCGACAGCACAGCGAGGCAGGGATGCTGCTTTCGTGCTGTCGAAAGCACTTGCTTGCAGCCAAATGTGACCACCGCAGGCCATGCAACAACGCGCTCCGGGCTACACACGGGTGTTGGAGGGGGTCGTTCTCACAAGAACACCCCATCTTCTTGATCCTTCTCATACCCTAGGTGTGAGAACCACCTAGGCCTTGGTCTCTCACAGTCATGCCTGCCGAGCAACCTCCCCAGTCTCCTGGTGCAGTGCGTAATGGCCTTTCAGTGCTTGGTGTTCTTCCCCGTCAAGTTGACACCTACAGCGTTCCCATCACACCGTTGCCCCGTCCAGCCTCTCCACAGCGTAGTGTGGGTAGAGTCTACCTGTTTGAGCCGCCGTCCACTTCTGCTGACTGGGAGCCGCACCCGTCAATTGTGCTCGTGCCAGGCGGTGGCGAAGGGTCGTCTAGACCCCCCGCGGCTTCACCAGACACTGTGAACAGCACCCCGGGGAAACGCCCGCGTGTCGGAGTGAAGTACACGCAGCAGCGACTATGGGGAGCCCCGCCACCCCGAAAAGAAGCATCACCTCAACGTCCAGTAGCCAGTGAGAACGAGGCGCCACCGAAAACGACCGGTGATGTACTCTACGAGACCATAAAACATCGCTATGATACTGAGTGGAAGGGAAAATTCAAGTGGTTGCGTCTTATTCGTCTGCCTAACGGGAATGCAAAGCTCAAGTGTGACATCTGTGTGCAGCATGGCGACCCCGCCGCTCACACAAGCTACGGTGCTCGCGGTGAAGGTGGCCGCGACCTGCAGATTGGGAGCGTCCGTGCCCATTCCTCAACACGTGCTCACAAGAACGCTCTCAAGGCTCAAGAAGAAGCTGCTGCTGATAAGGCGAAGCAGGCGACTTTGACTCGGTGGCAGACTACTGATGCGTCCACGCGTCACATCATTCGCGTTCTGCACATCGCCCTGTTCATCTGCAAGGCGGATGCACCAATCGCGATGTTCATCCTGCTCTGCTGGTTCTTGGCTAAGGAAAGTCTTCCAGACCTTCCTAATGGTGGCGGCTACGGCGCCTACTACACGGAGTAAGCGAAGGCTGTGTTCAACGGGTGCTTCAGGTGTTACCAGAAACTGACACGGTTGGCGTGCGTTGGTGTTTTGTGCAGATATGGCTTTAAGGAGAATCTGCGGGCCATCTCAACATACCTCCAAGAACTCCAACGGTCTCACTGTCAGAATCAACGGACTGGAATGGGCTGAACTAACAAGGAAGGCAGTACAAATGGGAAACCCTAGAGATGTGTACCCCATATAGTCTAACCCACTGTAGCCTAACAACAACCAACATATATAATGTTTGACACACCCCCATAGGCAAAGTGGGGGAGACCTAGGGGTCACAAGACCAGTCAAGGCAAAGCAAGGCAAACAAGCTCAGGGTGGATCTCGAGGATTCCACACAAATTCCGAGCACAAGCTAGTGGTCACAAGACCAGTTCACATGCAGGTTTATAGCAGAGCAAGAGATACAGTGATCACAACCTAGCAAGAGTAAACATGCAGGTATATATATATATATAGTGATCACAGTACAAGCAAGGTCAAGAGGTAAGCAAGTGAGGTCCAGTAGGCACAAGGCCTAGTAGAGTGCAGAGGCGCTGATGGTCACGAGGCTGAAGCGCCTTGGTGAACACATCAGCAGTGTTGGCGTCAATGGCCACGTAGCGAATACAAAGCTGACCGCGCTGCTGCAGCTCTCGAGCAAGGAAGTACCGCAGGGCGATGTGCTTCGTTCTGTGCTCCAGTCTGTGCTCCTCACACAAGGCAATGGCAGCCTTGTTGTCGACGTACAGCACTGGAGGAGAACGAGGCCGCTCTCCAAGGTCGGTCAGCAGGTAGGTCAGCCAGCGTAGCTCCTGGGCAGCCATGGCTGTAGCGTAGATCTCAGCCTCGCAACTGGAGCCGAGAACAGAAGAAGAGCGTGTAGAGCGCCAAGAAACTGAGCCAGAGCCAAGGCTGAAGGTGTAACCCTGAGACGACCGCTGAGTGGCCTGGTCGTCTGCCCAAGAAGCGTCTGAGTGCCCTGTGAGAACAACTCGGTCTCGCCCTCCAAGCACAAGCCCCATGCCCGACGTACTGCACAAGTAGCGCAACACCCTCTTAGCTGCATCCATGTGCTCCTTCCTGTGACGGCCAGGAGCGACATAGCGTGCAAGGATGCTAAGAGGGTATGCAAGGTCAGGTCGAGTGCAGGTCATCAGGTACATGAGGCAGCCCACAAGCTCTGGATACGGGCCACTCGGCTCTACGGACTCATCCGAAGGCAGAGCTGAGAGCGAGTGACCGGTAGGCAGAGGAGTGGACTGAGGCGAGGAGTACGTGAAGCGGAAGCGCTGAAGGATCTGCTGCACCATGTGTGACTGAGTCAGGGTGATGGTGCGCCGTGCTCTGTCCCGGGTGATCCGCAAGCCAAGATAGCTTGTCAGTTCACCCAGGTCTGTGCACGTGTGTCTCCTCTGCAGCTCCGACTTCACGTAGGCGAGTCCTGCAGTGTCAGCAGTGGCAAAGACCAAGTCGTCGACGTACACGAGGATGTAGAACGGTGGCAGCGAAGTGTCGGTGCGCAGGAACAGCGACGGGTCAGCTGTAGAAGGCGCGAACCCAAGAGCCGCAAGTGTAGTCCTCAGTGTGTCGTGCCACTCACGCGGAGCCTGGCGGAGACCGTAGACCGGCCGCTGAAGCCTCCACTGGGTACCAGGAGGAACCGACCCAGTGAAGCCAGGTGGGCGGCGCAGCCAGATCTCCTCGTGCAGGCTGCCCTGCAAGAAAGCAGTGCTGAAGTCAAGTGAGTGAAGCTCGTAGTCGCGATGAGCGGCTATGTGTAGCAGCACCCGAAGAGTAGTCATCTTCGGGGTGGGGGAGAAGGTCTGGAAGAAGTCAACTCCCTCTCGCTGACTGAAGCCTCGAGCCACGTAACGCGCCTTGAAGACAGGCGGAGAACCCGGCGGCCGCTTCACCCTGAAAATCCACATGCCACTGACGATGTTCGCCCCAGGAGGGGGAACCTCGTCGACGTAGGTGCGTGTGGACTTCTAGGAAGCCATCTCGGCGTCCATGGCTGTCTGCCACTGAGAGGAGTAGGGACCCGCCATCGCCTCAGCGTAAGTGCGCGGGGTCGGGATGTCTGGTGCATCCGGGTCTCCCTCAGGGGCAACTAGCAGGGACACGAGACGGGGTAAAGCAGCAGCAAGACACTGGAACTCCTCATGTCTGTCCTCAAGGACGTCCGTGCCAAGAGCACACTCACCTCCGACGGACGGAGGACAGACAGACGCAGACTCAGACTCAGACTCAGCAACAAGGCTAGCAGCGTAGTCTAGACGACAGGCAGCAGCAAAGTCAACCAACTCAGCGACCAGAGCAGACGCAGCCGAGGACTCAAAGGTAGGGTCAGTGACAACAGTAGCTAGGAGACGCGTGACAGTAGGGTGCTCAGCACGATACCGGTCAGACTCAGGGTCCGGAACATCAGGCAAAGAGGACGCAGGAGGAGACGGTAGAGGGACACGCTGAGGAGCAGTAGAGGGACGCAGAGTCATGTAGTGAGTGCCTGGGACAGGAGGAGGACGCTCACGGCGGACACGACTACCAGTGCGAGCAGTACGAACAGGCGACGCAGGACGAGACTCAGGCTCACGACGCTCTGTAAGACCTCCTGTGGGACCAGTGTAAGGAGAGGGAGCAGGGAGAGGCGAGGTAGGCGGTAACTGTGACTGCAGCTGAACAGGCGGAGGACACTCTACGGAGGGAGGAGGACAAGGAGGAGGAGCCTGCCCAAGAACCTGCTGAAGGA